CACTTTTTTCTGAAGGCCAGGAGAAGGCTCGCCCCTTCTCGTTTCCCTCCCCAGGGCTCGCCGCCGATCGTCGGACTCCCTCGCGCCAGCCTTCAGTCGGGCATGTCCCTCTCTACAGGGGGGAACTTCAAAAATAGTCAGAAAATAGCCTGGGGACTATTTTTCACAATTTTTAGGGCATTTTCGAAGCATTGTTCGAGTATTTTCAATGTTTCGTTTAAAATCGGCTTGCATCAGGAGGAAAAGAAACACACAGACACAATTAATTAATCCTCGATTCTCCGGAAAATATAGGAAAATATGGGAAGTGGGGGGGAAGACAGAAACCCAAAAAATATGGCAAAATATGGGGAATCTGTTTATTTGTGTGTATTTATTTGTGCGTCCTGGGGCCCCTTCACTGTAGGGGGACAGGCCCGACTTCACGCCAGCCTCCGAGTCCACCGCGGAACCCATCCACCACATGCCTTCGGGACCGCTGGAGCGACCCGCCCACTCGGCCAGAGGGCAGGCTTTGGGCTTGGCATCCGTGCCGAGTGCTCTCGCCCTGGCTTCTGGCGCCTCATCGCGGGGCCACCCCTTAAAGCTCGCGATAGCAAATCATAGGAGCCTCGTATACATTCGTGATTCCGTTTTTGGAGTGGACTGGCGTCGATTAGCGATGAGACGGCGCCGATTTGGCATCGATTAGCGTCGGCTAGCGTCGATGACCGTCGATTTAGCAAGAGCAAACAAAATATCATGGGAGGCTGCCATGAGTTGCCACCGAACTAGTCGCCCTCAGGGGTCAGGCGAGACCAGGGTGCTGCCCTAACGAGACGTGCCCGCGCAGGCCCATCACGCGTGAGCACTTCCTGCTACAGGCTCCAAGCTGGTGAGGTCTCCTCCTCCTCCAGCGCATCTTCGCCACTGCGAGACGCGGCACGATGCCGCGCCAGACAGGCCCCCCTCAGGACGGACGGCTTGGAAGGCTCGACGTGGCGCTGTCCGACCGATCCGATTCGATATCGACTTCGGCTGGCCCGATCCGATTCGATTTTCCAAGAGGGGGTGAAGTTTATAAGGGCAAGGACCGACCACAACGATGTTTAGTCAGGTTTTGGCCCGTGTTGTGTTGTTCGTTTTGCTTTTCATTCTAAACGCAAACGCGTTTTAAACATCGTTGTGGTCGGTCCTTGTATAAGGGGTGTTGATATCATGGCCAGGGCCGTGAAATCATCGAGATTTCAATGGCGCCCTCTCCTTCTGTCAGTGCCTTCCCTGGCCCTCCCATCGCTCGCGCACATGCCTCGGGCCGTGCTGCGCCAAAAGTCCTCTTCCTGGGCCCCTGATTTCGGAGCGCACGAGATTCGATCTGGGCCCCCGATGCGGTGCCCACACATCCTGCCCCCGGCCCTCCGGCGCCGTGGCTCCGTCGCGACGCGGGCGGGCCCGGGAGCTCTCGGATGGCCCATCCCAGAGGGCGGACCGCAGCCGAAGCGCTGAAGTGAGTAGGGGGCCACACGCGAACCCTGGGTCCCTACCCCTACCCCCCACGATTTCTGAGGGGGAGGGCGGGGTCCACTTCGTGGGCGGCAGGGGCCCACATGCAGAACCCCACCCTGCCCCTCAGAAAATCGTGGGGGGTAGGGGCACAGCCGGGGCGCTGAAGAAGGAACCCTTTTCGTTGGGGAGGGGCTCCGTGTTCCTTGATTGCCTCAGAGTTTTCCTGAGGTTTTCCATGGGAAATCGAAGTTTAATGTAAGGGAACATGGGCCTCGTTCCTGATTTTGGGTTCATTAGCTCAACGCCCCGACTGTAGGGTTCGCATGTGGCCCCCTGGTGAGGGCAAGTGTGGGCTCGGGAGGGGCTCCGACGCTCGTGTGGGGCCGAAGCACGGGCGCCCGTGGCCGAGGCCCGCGGTGGCCGGAAGAGCCCGGAAGAGCACGTCTCTCAGGAGGGGAAAAAACACAGACACATTGAATCGTCGACTCCCAGGAGAATACAGTCAGGGCGTTGACCTAAATCAGGAACGAGGCCCCTTCTTTCCATGGGTTAAACTTCGATTCCCCGTCGAAAACAGAAGGAAAACCTGAGGCAAGCTCTGAAACACTTAAGGAACACGGAGCCCCTCCCCAACGAAAAGGGTTCCTTCTTCAGCGCCCCGACTGTATGGGAAAATATGGGAAGTGTGGGGAAGACAAAAGCCAAGAAAATATAGGAAAATGTGGGAATGTTTTTATTTGTGTGTATTTATTTGTGTGTCCCAGGGCCCCTTCAGTCTCGTTCTTCACCTGGCGTCTCTCACGGCAGCACGGCCACGGGGAGCGGCTTGTGGGCCGCATCGGCACTGGGACTTTGAGCACTCGGTATCGCTCGGGCGTGTGCTCTTCTTCTCGGCGGGGATTATGAAGGAGCATTCTGGATCACCCTGCGAGAGAAAGCCACGCACAGAACCGAAGAAAGCACAGGGAATGGACGTCCGAGTGATGGCCAGAGCATGCTCGAGGCCTCTTGGGCAGCCCTCAAGGCCTCCTGGTCAGCCTGCAAGGCCTCCTGGTCATCTTGAGAGCCTCCTTGGGGGATGCGAGCCCATCGGAAAGGGAGCGGGTGCAATTTGAAACGGCAAATAACACCCGCGACGGCTCGGCCAGGCAGGGGTGAGTGAGAAAAAACAACAAAAATCGTGAGAGCCTCCTTGGGCACCTTCGGGCCGGAGAGACCGCCCGCACTCTTCAGGCGGCGGGGGAGCTAGGACGGGCCGGGCCGCGCCAGGAGCGGGTGGGAGGGAGCCATCCCGCCCCCCCCTTCGGGTCTGCAGATGCGGGCTCGGCGGGAAGGGTGAGAGCCGAACTCAAGCAGTGGCGAAGCGTCCTGGCGTGCCTATAGGCCTACCAAACAAGGTTCTAAGAACCCTCTGTGGTTTCCACGAGATGTGCTTAGAACATTTCTGGCTGGGACTGTCTTGCTTCAACACGTCGGGTTTATGTCCTAAGAACATTGTCTTTGTTCTTAGCACATTTCTGGGTTCAAAGAAAATTCCGTGGTAGGCTTATAGAGATGCCGGGACGGTCGGTCCCTGCTCAACGAACGGCGGGAGGAGCAGGAGCCCCGCACGCCTGGAGGCCCCGAAGGCGTCGGCGGACACTCCTCTGCTGCGCTTGGGAGGCAGCTGCCCGGGCCGCCCTTCCACTCCGAAGGAAAAAAAACGTCAGTGGACCCCGTGTCTCCCCGCACCGAGGCCGGCGATACATAGGGGAACAAAAAGTGGCATAAACATAAAAACTCGGAGGTCCGCGCGGACCTCCGAGTTTTTATGTTTATGCCACTTTTTATTCCCCTAGATACAGTCGGCCCTGATCAGCAGGTCGACTCTGCCAAGTCAAGGGTACCCTTGGGCACCCTTGTGTCCCGTGCCTTTCGGCCCAGGCCTCCTGCATCCCCCATGGCAGTGTGGCCCTCGGAAGGGCCTTCTGTTCTCCCGCGTGTCCTGCCCAATCGAGTGCCCCGTCTCCACAATTAGAGCTATGCGTCGCCCGCCTAGCTTCTAGCAGAAGAGGTTCGCTCTCGCCCCGCAGATCAAAAAGTGTCCTGCCCAGTCGAGTCCGTCACTCGCTCCCTCGCGTATTAAATCTTTCTCTAAATCTCCGCCTAAATTGTTACTCGCGCTCTCGCTGCTTAAACCTTCACTTGACTCGTCGTCGTTGTTCCTTGGCGCTCGCTCGTTTAGTTTTTTACGTTTTGTTGGTGGCCCGCGGCCGTGCCACCGTTCTGTTATGCGTTTCGTTTTCGGCTGATCGGGGGCCGCTGTTGTGTTCACCCGCTGTTTTGTTCCAGAACGGCCCGCGCGACGCCGGCCAGCGTTTTCGCTCAAACTTCGTCTTTAAACGAAAACGAAACGTGAACATAGAACACTGTTCAGGTTGAGCCCTGTCCGACGACAGCTGCACCCCATGAGCGAGAGGCGAGCCCGGAGCTGCCGCAGCCACCCGAGGAGGTGCGAAGGCAGCCGGGCTTCGCGCACCGTGGCCTGGGGCCCTGGCCGGACGGGCGCAGTCTCCAGGTCGGCGGCGCGAGGGCGCGAAGGCGATCGGGCCGGACGAAAGGGGGGGGAGGAGGAGGAGGAGGAGGAGGAGGAGGAGGAGGAGGAGGAGGAGGAGGAGGAGGAGGAGGAGGAGGAGGACGAAAGGGGGGGATAGGGAAAGGGGGGGTTACGAAATCTACTGCACGCAGCTGGCTTCGGCCCCGCCGCTGGGCCCAGTCCTCGATACAGGGGCGCCTCTGGCGCCGGGAGGCGCGCGGGGAAAGTCAGCTGCGCGAGCTGATTCTCAAACCCCCCCTTTGCTATCCCCCCCTCTCGCCCGGCCCGAGGCGAGCGCGCACCGCGGGGGGCGAAGGTCGGCGCGCATGCCGTGGGTCGTGGTGCGCGAAGCGAATGGGGGGAGCGCAGGGCTCGAGTGCGCCAGAGCTCGGGCCTGCCGACGCTTTTTGAAGGGCGCGTCCGGGGTTTTGACGGTCCAGCTGTCGTGGGATGCGTGCAGCGGGAGCTCGCGTCGAATGTCAGGCGGGGTCTCGCGGTCTTCGTGGTGGCTCCGTCAGGCCAACCCGAGTCCCCAGAGCCCAGCAGTCAAAGGGTGGTGGTCTGATTTTTTTGGGGGGTCTGATTCGAGCTGTCTTGGAGGGTTACAGCGGGGGGGGGGTCTGGGCGAAAGGCCGCCCCTTCATGGCTGGTCTGGGGGGAGGGAGTCTAAAGCTGCGCGTCTGGGAGGGTTGTGACCCCTCCCCCTTTTCTTGGCATCGCTCAGACGTGTGCATTTTTCCTTCTGCGAGGACCATCGAGGAGCATCCTTGATCATTTGGCGACAAAAACCACGCACGAAACCGACAAAAGCACAGGCAATTGACGTCCGAGCGATGGCCAGGGTCTGGGGGAGGGAGTCTAAAGCCGCGCGTCAGGGAGGGTTGTGACCCCTCTGCCCCTTTTGGTCACCTAGCTTGTGGGGCCCTGCTCCTGCCGCCAGGACCGCTGGACCGACCTCTTCAGTCGGGTGGGCGTCAGCCTCGGGCCGCCAAGGACCCCGGCGCCACCCCGGCGCTCTCGCCGCCTCTGCGTCGGGAGCGGGAAGTCCTCCTCTTCCCCGCCAGCTCGTGCTCGTCTTCTGCTCCTGCAGAAGCCTCTTCCTCCTCCTGCAGGATCCTCCCCCAGGTCCTCCAAGTCTTGATCATCCTCCCCCCATGCCAACTCCTCTTGGTTGCTCTTCCCCCAACTCCTCGTCACTATCCTCATCCCTGCCTTCCTCCCTTTCCTCCATCTCTCCCTCTCTTCCCCCCTCCTGCCTTCTCCCCCCCCCCCCTCCAGCTGCTCATCCATCCACGCCTCGCCCCTTTTTGTTCATAAAGTTGCTGTCGCATCCTATCTGATCCCTTGTGCTCTACCTTCCCCGGGCGAGAAGCGCTCGCCTCCCAGTAAAGGGCCCCAGTCGAACCAGGTGGCCAGAGCCCGCCTGTGTTCGAACCCGACCGGCCTCGAGCCAGCCCAGCTTCCAGTCCGCGCTTGTGCTGCACTGGTGTCTTCGGTCGCTTTCGTCGGCTCTCGGCGGCTTTTCAGCCCGGGCATGCCTTCCAGCAGCCGTGCCGCTCCGGGAGCATTCTGGGTGTGCCCGAATCGTCTCCAGCGCCCTCTGGAGTCAGACCCTGGAGACTCGAGAGCTGCGACCCGAAGGCCAGGCGACGAGCGGTAGGGGGTCGGACGCGTGAAGCGTCCGTCGGTGCTAGACCGGGTGGGGTCGGGCCTTGACAGGCCCGAGTCATCGGGCTCGAGTTTGGTTCGTGCCATCCCCGGCAGGGCAAGCAATGCCCCTCCCATGTCTCGAACATGGAAGACTTGCCTGAACATGGACGATCGTAGGTCCGCGCGGATTTCTCGGACCGGCGCTGGACCGCTTTGGAGCGCCTCCGGCGCAGTCCGGGGCACGCTCCGCGCCCCAGGGAGACGGTCCAGCGCCAGCGCCAATCCCAGAATTCCGCGCTGAGTTCCGAAAGTTTTGTGCCCTCGGCGCCCATCCAGGGTCCGCAGCGGGAGCACAGCGCGCATCAGAAGCGCCATGTTAAATTGTGCCGAACCGTCTCGTCTGGAGGCGGGGCCTCCGACGCACAAATACCGTATGATAATATACACACGTAGACACCCTTCAATGGTTGCCCCTGGACCTCATGGGAGGATGGCGGTGTACAAATCACCACTGAGAGCCAGCGACTCTATATCCGCCGCCGCCCTCCCTGAAGGTGCATTCAAATTTGTCGTAGGGTGTCTGTGTACATGTTTTCATGGCGTAGAGCCTGTCTCGTTACAGACTCGCTCCTCTTGCGGAGAGGGAGGGGGGCTGGAGATTTGCCCCGCAGGGCAGCAGAGTCGGGGACGGCGACGCGCCTCCCCCCCACAAGAGCCGGAGCTGCGGGCAGAGCACGTTTCCGCCATCCCCGAGCCTGACATTGCCGCCAGTGCCCCCGCTCTCGATGTCCCCATCTGCAGTCTGCTGTGGAGGGGAGGCGCGAGCGAACGAACGCCTGCCTTCTGCCTTGCAGGGCGGCGCCTCTGGGCCCAAGGCCTGGCGCGGCCAGCAGCCTGGCTCAGAGGCTGGGTTGGGGAGATCGCTCTGGCGCGTGGGCATGAAATCACAGACAGCAGCCGTGAGCGGATGGAAGGGGCGAGAGGGGAGGAGGGGAGCGGGGGGGGGGGATAGAGAAAGGGGGAGGGACGAAGACTGTCGCGTGCAGCTGGTTTCAGCCCAGCTTCCAGGCGCCTCCCTCGATACAGGGGCGCTTTCTGCGCCAGGGGGCGTTAGGGAAGCCAGCTACGCGAGCCGATTCACTGACAACCCCCGTTTGCAGTCCTCACCTTTCTTCGTCCGCCCCCAGGGCCCCAGCCGGGCCCAGAGTCAGGGGCCTGTCGGGCGGGGCTGGGACGAGGGTAAATCCGTTCCTGAGCGTTCCAGGACGTTCCAGAGAGTTCCAGAACGCTCTGAGAAGGCCGCGGCGCCAGATACATCCTCCAGAGCAGCCGAATCACAGAGCTTTCCGATTTTTCTTCACCCGACTGTGTCCCTGTCTTGGCTTCGTCTTAGACTGACATTCCCGACGATGACGAGAGGAAGATGGGGGAGGAGGAGGAGGAGGAGGAGGAGGAGGAGGAGGAGGAGGAGGAGGAGGAGGAGGAGGAGGAGGAGGAGGAGGAGGAGGAGGAGGAGGAGGAGGAGGAGGAGAGGATGAGGAGAGGAGGAGGAGGAGGAGGAGGAGGAGGAGGAGGAGGAGGAGGAGGAGGAGGAGGAGGAGAGGAGGAGGAGGAGGAGGAGGAGGAGGAGGAGGAGGAGGAGGAGGTGGAGGGGGAGAGGAGGAGGAGGAGGAGGAGGAGGAGGAGGAGGGGAGGAGGAGGAGGAGGAGGAGGGAGGAGGAGGAGGAGGAGGAGAGGAGGGGAGGAGGAGGAGGAGGAGGAGGAGGAGGAGGAGGAGGAGGAGGAGGATGGGGTCCCCCAGGCCCGGTCAGGGCGTCCCCCCCCTCGAGGAAGAGCCTCGGCCAGGCCTGGGTCGACCCCCTTCCCCTTCGGCCCGGCGGCAGGGCGCTCCTGCGTGCCTCGCAGAGCGCGGCCGAGCGCCACCCCCGGCCTGGTTTCGGGGGAAAAGAGGAGGGTGATGAATAGAGGGGGGTGGATATCATGGCGCGGGCCATGATATCTCCGCAGATTTCATGGCGCCTCTTTTTGTTTCATTACGTCCATGGCCCCCCCCCTGGGCCGCGCACATGCCGCCAGCCATGATTTGCACCCCCCCCTCTTGGACACCCCTCTCTTGGCCGCTCCCGATGGTTCTTCGAAGAAGAAGCAGCGGCATCAACAGAAACGCTTGGCGCTCCGCGCGGATTTCTTGGATCCGCGCCGGGCCCCCCCCGGCGGCGCCTCCGCGCGCCAGGGAGGGGGGTCCAGCGCACCCCAACCTGGCTCTGCCTGTGGCGCTCAAGCTTTTGGAGCTCCTGGAAAGTAGTGGCATTTCCTTCGGAGGCGTCTGGGAGCGGTTCTGCCTGTGGCGTTCAAGTTTTTGGAGCTTCTGGGAAGCAGTGGCCTTTTTCCTTCGGAGGCGTCCGGGAGCGGTGCCTCTAGCCACGCTGCTGGACCTCGAGGCCCCTCCTCTGATGAAGCTCTCTGCTCCCGTGGCTCGGCGCTCTTGGCGGGGGGCGCCCCGCCGCCGTGCCGGAGGACGGTCGTGATCTCGCAGCTGGTGGCCCGCGGAGAGGTCGAGCTGCCGCCGGACTCGGGCGCCGAGGTGAGGCTCGAGGCGTTCAGGCGCCCCCCCCCCGGGGGGGACCTGGTATCGCTCGGGCGTGTGCCCTTTGTCTCGGCGGGGATTATGAAGGAGCATCCTGGATCGTCTTGCGAAGAGAACACACGTACGAAGCCGAAAAACGCACAGGGAATGGACGTCCGAGCTTCAGGCGCCCCTCCCTGGGGGGGGCTTGGTGTCGCTCGGGCGTGTGCCCTTTGTCTCGGCGGGGACCATTAAGGAGCATCCTGGATCGTCTTGCGAAGAGAAACACACGCACGAAGCCGAAAAACGCACAGGGAATGGACGTCCGAGCTTCAGGCGCCCCCCCCTGGGGGGACTTGGTATCTCTCGGGCGTGTGCCCTTTTGTCTCGGCGGGGATTATGAAGGAGCAGCCTGGATCATCCTGCGAAGAGAAGCACGCACACGAGACCGAAGAGACGCACGGGGAACGGGCGTCGGAGCGATGGCGAGGGGATCCGCGCGCAGGGGGAGGGGGGCCCCGTGGTCGAAGCTCTGAGGGCCGTCGGCCCGTGCTGCCACCGCGCGAGGGTTGTGGGTCGGGGCTCTCAGGGATGCTTCCTGGGGTCTCTTCGGGGGCAGTTCCACGTAGGGCCTTCGGGGAGCCTCCTGGGGGCCTGCTTGGGGGCCTCCTAGGGCCGCGCGGGTTGTGTTCGGCCCTTCTCGGCCTTCGGGGGCCCTCCCCAGGCCTCAAGACCGTCAAACCTCGGCACGCGACGAGAAGCAGACCCTGGAGAAAGGCTCGGGGCTTCCGAGCCTCTGCCGCACGCGCGTTGCGCCGGCTTCCACTGCCAGCACTTCTCGCACCTTTCGTGTTGCACCACTGCCCGCTGCCGTAGCACCACTGCCTGCTGCCATTGCCAGGTCCTCTCGCACCGCTGCCTGCTGCCACTGCCCGCAGCCATTGTCGTTATTCGTCGCACGGGCTGGTCTGTAGCTGATGGCGTCCGTGCTTCGCCCTTCTTGACTCCGCCTGCTTCCGCTGTCTCTTCCCGCAAGTTTTGACCTGTAGCTGATGGCACCTGGTCCCCACTCCCTCTTGATGCGCCATCTCTTTAGCCACGACGAGAGAGTCAGGGGTTTGCTGCGCAGTCGATTGTACACATGCTGTCTGCTGCCACTGGTCGTACAGGCCTCGGAAAAAAATAGCGAACACTCATGCCACATTCATCTGTGAACGCCTCCCCCTCCCCCCAATGTTCAAAGTTGGCGGTGGGTCTGATGAGTTACACCTCGACCGCAGTCTCCCCCCCGCGTGCCAACTTTCAGTTTGGGGGGCAGGGGGGGTGTTCACTAATTGTTTCCCTCTACCGTACTCTAACTCATCCCCCTCTGCGCAAGGTACGACGACCGCCGGTACTTCATCCGCGGAGTGGAGCTCGCGACGGGAAGACCATGCTCCGTGGCGCTGTTGGAGGAGACCTCGCGCCGCGCACTCCGCTGGGCGGCGGAGGAGGGGGCAGGTCCTCCTCCTCCTCCTCCTCCTCCTCCCCCTCCTCCTCCTCCTCCTCCTCCTCCTCCCAATGTTGGGGGGGAGATAGGCTCAGAGGGGGCACGTCGACCCCCACTTGCCCATTGATCGCCGATGAGGGCCCGACAGCCCGCTGCGCCGAGGACGGCACGGTGTCGCCATCGGGGGCCCGTTGCCGGTCTGTCGGCGATGCATCGCCGATTCCGGGCTGATGCTTCCCCTCTGAGCTGGTGCCCCCCGCCGCCCTCGCCCCTCAGAGGAAGTCGGCGGCTGCGGCGGGGGCGGATCGCGCAGGGGCGGAGCAAGGCATGCGGCGGGGTTAGCAGATGGGCCGCTGGCCTTCGGAGCTCCGGGCGCTGCAGCTTTTGTGCCCCGGGTTTTCGTTGCGCCCGCTTTTGGGCTCCAGGACCATCGCGGATCGATGCGGCTCGAAAAATGCTCGGGAAGATGGGCTTCAGATCTCGCCAAGTGCTCGAGTCCGTGGTCAACCCTAACAAACCCAGGCGCGCCTGCGAGCGACTGCCTCTGACCCAGGCGCCCTAGAGCGTGTTTCTCTATTGCTTGGGGCATGACGGGCGTCATGGCCCCCGCCGTTCCCCCCCCCCCCCCATGACGTAACGTTCCCCCCCGCCAGTGCGCTCTGGGCACTGCCGCCGTGCGCATCGGGATCCGCATAGGTGTCCGCTTAGGAATCCGCATGGGAGTCTGGTCCGCAGTCGTCGTCGCTCGTCGTCGTTGTCGTCGTCGTCGCTCGTCGCTCGTCGCTCATCGTCGTCGTGCGCGCGGACGCGGCTGGAGTTTGTTTTTTTCCTGGGCCGATGACGGCAATCACTTTGGGGAGGGAGGCGGCCGATGACGTCACGTTTCGCGCCGGTGGCGTCTGGGAATGTTTGGGAATGACCGAGGACGGGTAGCAGCAACATGTCGGTGGCGATCTGCACCATTGCGCCTGTGTACACCACAGTGCCTGCGTGCACCATAGCACCTGTGTACACCACGCCGCCTATGTACACCACAGCAGCCGCGCGCAACACAGCGCCAGTGTGTGCCACAGTGCTTGCGGGCAGCACAGCGTTTGTGTACACCACAGCGCCAGCGTACACCACACCAGCCGAGTGCAGCACAGCACCAGTGTACACCACAATGTGTACGTGCACTACAGCGCCTGCGTACACCACGGCGCCTGTGTGCACCACTGCAACCGTGTGCAACAGGGCATCATTGTTGTATATAAAATTTGAGAAGGAAGCCTTATGACAATATTTAGCGCAACTAGAATCTTCAGCGGCAGAGATATGTTCCACATGATTTGGAAAACAAGAATCCACATGGAAAAAGGAACGCCGCTGGAATCTACGGGCCCCACGGGGTCCACCAGCATCCTCCCAACTCCTCCCATCTGCATCCAGGACGCTCCAGCAAAATTGGCCGTCCGAGAACCAAGTGGACGGTTTGAATAGACCATTCTGCGGTGCACGATGAGATGCGCACGTGCGCTGTAGTGCCGACCCGCACGACAGGTGGGAAGGGTGAGGGAAGAGGAGGAGGAGGAGGAGGAGGAGGAGGAAGAGGAGGAGGAGGAGGAGGAGGAGGAGGAGGAGGAGGAGGAGGAGGAGGAGGGAGGAGGGAAAAGCGTCGCATTCTATCATCAGCGCTTCCCCGGCGTGCATTCTATCATCAGCGTTTCCCCGGCGTGGCGTTTAGCTGTCCGCAGCAGATCCTCACACACATGTTCTTTCTATTTGTCTTGTGCACGCAGGCACCGTGGTGTACGCCAGCGCTGCGTTGCACGCGGATGCTGGGGTGTAAACGCGCGGTGTGGTGTTCACAGGCGCTGCGGTGCACGCAAGTATTGTGGGGTACACAGGCGCTGTGTTGCACATTGTTGCTGCGGTGTACACATTCGTTGTGGTGTACACAGGCGCTGCGTTGCACACGGTTGTTACGGTGTACGCAAGCGCTATGGTGTACACGCGCGCTGTGGTGCACGCGAGCATTGTGGTGTAGACATGCGCTGTGGGGCAGATCGCCACCTACACGCTGCTCGCGTTTTCGTCGTCACTCGTCGGTCGTCGCTCATCGTCGTCTTGCGCGCGGGCGCGGCTGTGGTGCTGGAGCCACACGGCGGGGGGGGGCGCTACGTCATACCCCTTCCCCCGCTCCCCCCCTCCATGACGCCCATCATCGCCGAAAATAGAAAGGCGCTCCTAGGGGGCGGGGGGAATTTTCCCGCCGCCGAGATCAACAAAAAATGCCGCTAGTAGTTGGGGAGGGGCAGGAGGAGGAGGAGGAGGAGGAGGTGGAGGAGGAGGAGGAGGAAGAGGGAGAAGAGTAGGAGGAGGAGGAAGAGGAGGAGGATGGAGAGGGAGGAGGCATAGGAGGATGAGGGAGGAGGGGAGGAGGAGGGAGGAGGGAGGAGGGAGGAGGAGGAAGAGGAGGAGGAGGAGTGAGAGGAGGAGAGATGAGGCGGAGAGGCGGAGGAGGATGAGGGAGGGGAGGAGGGAGGAGGAGAGGGAGGAGGGAGAGGAGGAGGAAGAGAAAGGGCGGGAGGAGGAGAGAGAGGAGGAGAGGGAGGAGGAGAGAGGAGAGGAGGAGAGGGGAGGGAGAGGAGGAGAGAGAGGAGAGGAGAGGAGGGAGGCGGAGAGAGCGGAGGAGGAGAATGGGAGGAGGAGAGGAGGAGGAGGGGAGGAGAGGAGGAGGGAGGATGGAGAGGAGGAGGAAGAGGAGGGAGGAGGGAGGAGGGGAAGGGAGAGGAGGAGAGGAGGGGAGAGATGAGGAGGAGGGAGGAGAGGGGAGGAGGAGAGTAGGGGAGAGAGGAGGAGAGGAGGAGAGGAGGAGGAGGACGAGAGAGAGGAGGAGAGGGAGGAGGGAGAGGAAGAGAGAGGGGAGAGAGGGAGGGAGAGGAGGAGGAGGAGAGAGGAAGGGAGAGAGAGGGGAGGGGAGGAGAGGAGAGAGGAGGAGAGGAGGAGAGGGAGGAGTAGGAGAGAGGAGGGGAGAGAGAGAGAGGAGAGGAGGAGGAAGAGAGGAAGGGAGAGGAGGAGGAGAGAGAGAGGAGGGAGAGAGGAAGAAAAGAAGAGAGGAGAAGAGGAGGGGAAGAGGAGAGGAGGGAGGAGAGGGGAGGAGGAGAGGAAGAGAGGAGGAGATAGAGGAGGAGGACGGAGGGACACGCCTCCGGCCGTGTTTTGTCGCAGCGTCGGGCCGCGGATTGCATCGACTCCGATTGGGGGCCCCATCCGCCTCGAGGCCCCGGCCCTCGGGGCCCCACTCTTTGAACCTCGGGGGCGGAAAAGAGGGGGGTGATGACCATTGGATCGCCCGAGCGCCCTCGGATCGCCCATTGGGGGCCTGGGAGCCCACCTCCCGGTGAGGGGTGCGCGGACTCGCCACATGTCGGGGGCGGGCAAAGAGGGGGGTGATGACTAGGGGGGGGTGGATATCATGGCGGGGGCCATGATATTTCCCCAGATTTCATGGCGCCTCTTCTTATTTCATTACGTCTCTGGTCCCCCCGCTGGGCCGCGCACATGCCGCCAGTCATGATTTCCACCCCCCCCTCTTGGACACCCCCCTCTTGGCCGCTCCCGAGAACCGCCGGCGCATGCATGGCCCCACCCCTCGGGGCCCCATCTTTGAGTCGGGGGCGGACAGGCCTCCTACCCTGACACGTCGATTAGGGAATTGGCCGGTTTCGGTTCGCGAGAGGGCGTCGCGGCCGTCATTTTTGCGGGTCCAGGTCCGTCGGTTTCGGTCCCAGGCCGCTTTCATTGAGGGGAGGTTTACTAGAGGGAGGCTTATCCACCGCCGATTGAACCGCCGATGCATGCACTCGGCGTCGCTCGGACGTGCGCACTTCTCTCTCGGCAGGGGGGACCATCGAGGAGCAGGTTGGGTCCACCTGCGAAGAAGGACGCGCGCGAAGCCGAGAAGGGCCCGGGCAACAGACGTCCGAGGGATGGCGAGTGCATGCAGGGGCGCCAGTCGCCCATGTACTCGACGAGGCTCCTGGGCGGACGCGTGTAATGCCCGCCCTTGGCCTATCCACCCCCCTTGGCCTATCCACCCCCAGTGTGCCTCCCCTGGGGGATAACGACGGCGACCCACAGTCGGCCACGCGCACTGGGGGCATGGGGCAGGGGGGCAGGCTTCTCAGAAGCACCCCTGCTTCTTAGAAGGCGCGGGCCTTCTCTGCAGACGCAGGGCCGGCGCCTTCTAAGAAGCAGCCTCCTTCTAAGAAGCCTTCACCCCTCCCCCTACCCCCCCCTGTGCGCGCCGCCAACCTAGGACCCATTCAGCGTCCGCGGGCCAGGGCTGTCTCCCCTGGCCCCATCCTTCCCTTCCTCTTCCGGATCCTTTTGCTCGTCCCTCCTCTCCATGCATTGATTTGTGGCGCCAGTTTTGCTTTTTGAGCATTGCGCTCGTGGTATTGCTGGTTTTCCCAACCATCCTGTGGTGTTGGGTCCTCGTCTCGAAGAGACAGCTCCCCGTGTTCCTTCCTTCCTCCTTCCGTCCTTCCTCCTCCCCCCCTCCCTCCTCCCATCCCTGCCTCGGCTCTCCGCATCACCCTCACACGTTTCGTGGCTCCATAAGGAGCTCCACCGAAGGTCCATGTGCTACCGCCCGCATGCGTCCCCCCCAACCAGTACAGCGCTTCGTGGCCCCATCGGGAGCTCATCCGAAGGTCCCAGTGCTACCGTTCGCATGCGTCTCCCCCACCCAGTACAGCGCTTCGTCGCCCCGGAAGGAGCTCCACCGAAGGCCTCAGCGCTACCGCCCGCATGCGCTCCCCCCTCCCAGTACAGCCCTTCGTGGTCCCATGAGGAGCTCCACCGAAGGTCCCAGTGCTACCGCCCGCGTGCGTTCCCCCACCCAGTACAGCATTTCGTAGCCCCAGAAGGAGTTCCACCAGGGGCGCCAGTGACACCGTCAGCATCTGTTCCCCCCACGCATTGCAGCGCGTCGTGGCCCCATAGGGAGCTGCACTGAAGGCCTCAATGGCACCGTCCACATGCGCCTCCCCCGCCCAGTCCAGCGCTTCATGGCCCCGTAGGGTGCTCCACCGAAGGCCCCAGTGGCACTGTCCGCATGCGTCTCCCCCACCCAGTACAGCGTGTCGCGGCCCCATGGGGAGCTCCACCGACGGCGCCGGGGGCACCGTCCACGTGCATCTCCCCCATCGCGTTTCGTGACCCCGCAAGGAGCTGCACCGAAGGCCTCAATGGAACCGTCCACATGCGCCTCCCGCACCCATTACAGCGCTTCATGGCCCTACAGGGAGCTCCACCAAAGGCCCCAGTGGCACAGTCCACATGCGTCTCGCCCACCCAGTGCAGCGCTTCATGGCCCTATAGGGAGCTCCACCGAAGACCCCAGTGGCACAGTCCACATGCGTCTCCCCCACCCAGTACAGCGCGTCGTGGCCCAATAGGGAGCTCCAACGAAGGCCCCAGTGGCAAAGTTCGCATGCGTCTCCCCCACCCAGTACAGCATTTCGTGGCCCAGAGGGAGCTCCACCGAATGCTTCAGTGGCAAAGTTTGCATGCGTCTGTCCCACCCAGTATATTCGCCAGGCTAATTTTGAAATTTGATGACGGGGGGGCTTGGGTGTGATTGGACACGTGTTCGGTATCCTGTATACTGCTGTATTTTGCCGCGTGCTGCCCGCGGCGGCAGCCGCTGCCAGCGGATGCGCTCTACACAGGTGGGTCCTCGCCGTTTGCGTTCCACTCCTCCTTTTCTTCGGACCTGCCTCGTCTGGAGGCAGCCAATCTAGACTCTAGATTCCCTCCTCTTCCCCCTGGTTGCTGTTGCTTCTCCCTGTCCTTCCCTCCCTACTTCAACATCCGCCCCCTCCTGCTCTCCCTCCCTCGTCTCTCCCTCCCTCTGTCTCTCATTCCCCCTCTTATCAGCGGCATCGCCCCGGCTGAAAGTAGTTTGATTGCCGATCTGTGCGGACACCCTTTTGGGCCCATTCGGCCAGTTATATGAATCACGCAGAGCTTGCAAGGAAGAGAAGGAGGAAAGGAGAGAGATAGAGAGAAAGGGAAGAAACATAGAGAGGAGTTTGCGGCACTAGTGGCAGGTCAAGGGCAGTGCGATAGCTTCTCTCGTGGACGTCCCAATAACCACCGCCTCCTCCCTCCCGCCCCCTGCTACAATTACTCAATATGAAGACTACTCTCCTCTCTCCCCAGATCCAGCCCGATTAATATTATTCTCCCCTCTCCCCGGATCCAGCCCGAGCGAGGCAGGATTTCTCCCGCATTGTGGCTCAGCGATCTCAGGACTGCAAACGGCAACCAGAACGTCGTATTCTGCGTTTCCAAAAGGTGCGTCCGCGGCAGCGCCAGCCTCATTTTCGGATCGACGCGGTGCTCCTGGTGTTCAGGACGATGGTCTCGCCCCAGTGCGGGCCACAGTTCTGGATCCGAGTCCTTCGTCGCTGTAGCCCCGCTCGTTTCCCCATCCGCCTTCCTCCGGTCATCCTGCGCCTCCCGCTCCTCGCGCTCCTGGTCTTGCCGCTGCCGTTCCTCTTTCATCCGTTCATTCGCCATCCCCCCCTTTCCTCCAATGTGCACAGCTCCCCCTTTTCTGACTGCGCACAACACGATGGGGTGCGTCGGCTGCGACACCCGTCGGCGGGTAGAGAAAAACTCAGCGCAATGGGAACGGATGGGCGGGAGGGGTCAGATGTCAGATATGGCACGAGCGCGCCTGGCTTCCCCGCCCCCCTCTGCCGTCCCCCTCTGCCCCCCCCTCTGCCATCTCTCCCTCCCCTCTCCCTTCTCCCCTCCCCTGCCCACCTGCTGGGCTCACCAGGACCGCCTGACGGCGGATATCGCCGACACCGTTGCCGCATGCCCAGACGAGGGGTCCATCCTGGAGGTGCTGTCCGACCTGATCCGCTTCGAGGCGCGTCATCCCCCCCCCGTCGTCGTCTTTGAGGGCAGCACTCCACCACGGGGATGACCCTTGGGCAGAGGCCTCAACGGCCTGCAGGGGGGCACAGCTCACCGAGCAGTATCAGCTCGGAGATCGGCCCCCTTCCCTCTGCACCCGCCCGTACGATGAGAGACCTGGGCCTAGAGCTCTTCCGACGGAGTGCTTTCTGCAGTGGCGGTGCGACCGACGGATAGTGGCAGTGCTGACACGTTTGAGGCTGAGCTTTAGATCGGGTGGCTGAATCCGCGGGCGCCATCTACACGCCTACACCGATCCTAGCCAGGCCGATCCTGAGTCCAGGATTGGTGCAAATACCTTCATGGCAAAGCCAGGAGGGCGCGTTCACTGAGTATAGTCCCAGGATGAGCCTGGCCAGAATCGTTGTAGGTGTATGGTTGGCGCCCTCCTACCGAAGCTTCAACCAGGAAGCCTCGTCTCGTATTTGTCCTGCGTGCGAAGTTGCGCACGAGTTGTCAGGTTGATGCTCCTGCTGCTAGGCGAGAGGCGGGGTGTCTCGATTTTGTCGCGATTCACGGCAGTGTCTTGATGGTTTCGCGGTATTGTCGTGGTGAGCCGGTCGCGATTTGATTGACCTGATGTGAATCGGCAGCAGAAAAAACGAAGGCTTCTTCGCCGCGCTGCGCGCAGCCACCTTGAAAAGTTCCAGCTGCTACATTGACAGAGAACTGGCCGTTCTTCACAGACTGCTCGTGCCCGACGAGTGTGGGGTCCAAGGTCAAGGTCGAGCCCGTGCGGCGGTGGGCATCGGTAGCGCGCTGCACGCGGGCGTGCCACGGGCCGCAGAAGACAGCACGTGCGTCTGGGACTTGGTATCGCTCGGACGTGTGCGCTTTTTCTCGGCGGGGAGTCTTAAGGAGCATCCTGGATCATCCCGCGAAAAAACACGCGCGACACCGAAAAAAACAGGGAAAGGACGTCCGAGCGACGAGGAGAGAGAGAGAGAGAGAGAGAGAGCCGCGCATCACAGGGGCGGCGAGGGCGCGAGGGGTCTGGGCGGACCTGGAAGGGCCTGCGGCCTGCAGGCTTCGAGCAGGGCGTCGGCCACAGGATCTACCTACAGTCGGGGCGCTAAACAAGGAACCCTTTTCGTTGGGGAGGGGCTCCGTGTCCCTTGATTGTTTCACAGCTTGCCTCGGGTTTTCCTTAGGTTTTCGATGGGACATCGAAGTTGAACTAATGGAAAAAAAGGGCCTCGTTCCTTATTTCGGGTTCCTTAGGTCAACGCCCCGACTGTACCCCAGAACTCGTCTTCTCTCCGAATATACGAGGAGAATGCGCAGAGGGCTCGTAGACATGTCGTGCACTCGACGAGAGCATTAGTTCAAGTGGCTGACGCGCCATCCCGCCGACCCTCGCAAGGAGCGGGTGCTTGAGACGATCTGAGGGTCTCCTGGGATGCCTCTCGGGGGGGCCTCTAGGAGAACTCCTGGGGAGGCATCCGGGAGGCCTCTTGGGGCCTCGTGGGGGCCCTTGGGGGGGCTTCTTGGGGGCGGCATGAACTCTGGGGTTAGTGTCGATCCTGTAGTCGCTCCCCTGCTCGGGAGCCCCCGCGGGCGCAGCCCCCCCTCCCTCCCCGCGATGGGGCGGCGGCCGCAGGCCGAGACCGCGTCCCTGACCGCCGCGTGATGGCGAGGCCGCCAGCGTCGGGGCTGGGCGGCGACGGCGGCGACGACGACGACGACGGCGGCGGCGGCGACGACGACGACGGCGACGCGGCGTCGGTGACGACGACGACGACGACGACGACGACGACGACGACGACGACGACGACGACGACGACGACGACGACGACGACGACGACGACGACGACGACGACGACGACGGCGGCGGCGGCGGCGGCGGCGGCGGCGGCGGCGGCGGCGGCGGCGGCGGCGACGGCGGGGGGGTGGCCGCGGAGCTGTCGGCGGCCGCATGCATGGGGCGGGCGGAGAGACCCCGGGGGGGGGGGGGGGCGGGCGGTGCGCGCAGTCGCCCGGGGTGCCTCGTCGGAGACGGCGGGCGGCCGGAGGCTCTGGGCACGGGCGGTGCTCCCCCCTTTGGGCGGAGTTCGCCCCCGTCGTCGCCCCCGAGGGTGCCGAGGCGCGGACGGCCTGCCAGCTTTGAGTCGGGCCTGTCCCCCGACAGGGGGATTCTCGACGAAAAATAAAAGATACTCCAAAAATTATCCCGGCAAAGCAACCTAACAGCGATGTGTAGAAGCATATCTGAAAGCATTCCCCTTAAGATTCAGATGAAAATCCAGTTGTAGAATTCTGCTGTTCTCGCAGTCGTAGTCGCATTCGCGATGACAGTCGCAGCGGCAACGGCAGTCGCAGTCACAGCCTCAGCCTCAGCCTGCCTCAGCCTCAGCCTCAGCCTCAGCCTCAGCCTCAGCCTCAGCCTGCCTCAGCCTCAGCCTCAGCCTGCAGCCTCAGCCTCAGCCTCAGCCTGCCTCAGCATCAGCCTGCTCAGCCTCAGCCTCAGCCTGCCTCAGCCTCAGCCTCAGTCTGCTTCAGCCTCAGCCTCAGTCTGCCTTCAGCCTCGGCCTCAGCCTCAGCCTGCCTCAGCCCAGCCTGCCTCGACCGCAGCATCAGCCTGCCTCAGCATTCAAAATGTGGCCCAGGAAAGGGAGTTCTGGGAAGTCGAAGAGCACGAAGTGGCCTACAGTTGGCTCCGGGCATTCAAAATGTGGCCCGGGAATGGAGTTCTGGGAACTCTGGGAACTCCGGGCATTCAAAATGTGGCCCAGTTCTGGGACGAAGTGGCCTACAGTTGGCTCCGGGCATTCAAAATGTGGCCCGGGAATGGAGTTCTGGGAACTCGAAGAGCACGAAGTGGCCTACAGTTGGCTCCGGGCATTCAAAATGTGGCCCGGGAATGGAGTTCTGGGAAGTCGAAGAGCACGAAGTGGCCTACAGTTGGCTCCGGGCATTCAGAATGTGGCCCGGGAATGGAGTTCTGGGAGGTCGAAGAGCACGAAGTGTGTGACTGTTGGCTTAAAACGACTTCTGCGGCACCCTGTCCGGCACCCGCCCAGACCCCCCTGTGGAGTCATCTGCTGCTCTTTTTTTAGCCCATTAGAAACTTATCAGTCTTCGCTGTTAGGTAAATATTCCCAATAGTCTGGGGATTATTTTTTTGCGTATTTTTTGGCCTTTTCGGGGTATTTTGAGGGTATTTCGTATTTTTCGTCGAAAATCCCCCTGTAGGGGGACCCGCCCGACATAATGCCAGCTTTCTCATCCAGCGGCTTCTGCTCTTCCCGGTCCCCTTGCTGCCCTCCCGGGGGGGAGTGGCACCGATGCCACTGCTCGTCTCTTGGGTGAGCGGGTCAAGAAAATTATCTCCAGGAGCCGTGGCATGGGACATCCTCCAAAGATCCTTCGGGAATGACTGGTCGGTTGGTCGGTTCGCTGGTTGGTTGCTTGGTTGGTTGGCTGGCTGGCTGGTTCGCTGGTTCGCTGGTTCGCTGGTTGGCTGGTTGGTTGGTTGGTTGGTCGGTTTGCTGGTTGGTTGGTTGGTTGGTTGGTCGGTTGGTGCCCATTTTTTAAATGCAGGGCTCAAAAATATCATTCCGAATCACAAAACTCTTTCCGGGGGCCGTCGCGTGAGACATCCTCAGAAATCTTTCGCGAATGATTGGTCGATTGGTCGGTTGGCTGGTCGGTTGGTTGGTTGGTTGGCTGGCTGGCTGGCTGGTTGGTTGGTTGGTAGTTCACAAGAGTTCATAGAGGCTTCCTCACCAATAGGCGACCAATCGGGGGAGCGAAGAAGCGGAGGGGAAAGGCGGGGGAGAGGGACCCTTCTCGCCGCCGTCGTTGCCGCCGCCGCCGTCGCCGCCGTCGTCGCCACCGCCGTCGTCGTCGTCGTCGTCGTCATCGTCAGCGTCGTCGTCGTCGTCAGCGTCCTCGCCTTGCCGGTGGTGGCGTCAGCAGCGCCCGTAGCATTGAAGTTGGTTCCCAGGCACGGGGATCGCGCATTGGGTGGAGAGGTGGGGCCATGTGGCCCGTAATTCCCTTGTGTCCACTCCCCCTGGGGTACAAACCCAGTTGCGCGTGCTAGGTGTTTCGGCAGGGGTGAGACCGCGTGAAGGTCCCCCTACGCACCAGCCGTCACGCTTTGGCTGCGATTCGCCAGCGACGTGGTCACCCCCCTGTACCTCGACTGGTTTGCGATTGAGACCACGCCTGCGGTTAGCGACATGTTCCCACATGCTCCTCCCTTTTCACGTCCTCCCTCCGCTCCGAGCAAGACTCGGGCCAGGGGCGAGGGGGAGTGCAGGGAGGGACGGCAGCGGGGCCTCTGGGGGCCCGCGCCCGAAGGCGCCGCGGGTCGACGCCCGCCCTGCCCAGGCCCGCCAGCAGACCTGGGAGTCCCAGGGGAGGGCCCGTCTCCAAGAGGGACAAGGCCTCTGGAGGCCAGTGGCAAGGGGTGGACTGGCTCGCTCGGGATGCCGTCCTTCCCGACCTCCCCCTCCCCGCTCACGGCCCCGCCGGGCCTGGCAGTGCTCGGGGTCACTCTGCAGTCTTTGCTGGGGCTGGGCCTGCCCTTGCATGCTGCCGCCGTTGCGGGGCCAGGGCCCAGCCGTCGGCCCCCCGTTCCCGTTTGTGGGGTGAGTGCCCGGGTCTTGCATCCAGTAAGGGCTCTACATATTTGAGGGCCCTTGAGCTTTAGGTAAGGACCCTACCCGCCCTTTCCAAGTTTCTGATGACGTTTGCTTTCGGCTTCGTCGTCGGTAATTGGCCTGGTTGTTTGCTTCGCGTTTTGCCTTCCTCTCCTCTTGGTTTCGTGCTGCGCTCGTTCGCCTCGCCCTGATTGTCTGTTTCCGCCTTCTATTCCCACGCTCGGCGCACCTGACATGCCGTGGTGGTGCCTCCCTCCTCCTCTTCCTCCTCCTCCTCCTCCTCCTCCTCCTCAGCAGCAGCAGCAGCAGCAGCCTCCTCCTTCTCCTCCTCCTCCTCCTCCTCCTCCTCCTCCTCCTCCTCCTCCTCCTCCTCCTCCTCCTCCTTCCTCCTTCCTCCTTCCTCCGGCCCCCCCAGCAGGAGGAGGGACTTCGGGCAGGGCGGCCGGGGAGCAGGGCGGAGCCCGGGCGGGAGCGCCCGTTGCCCGGGCCGTGGGGGGCGCGGCAGGTGCTGCCGCCCGCCTGAGCTGATCCTTGCGCCACCACGGCGTCCTTCCGCTACGCGCTCTCCTCCTCCTCCTCCTCCTCCTCCTCTCCTCCTCCTCCTCCTCCTCCTCCTCCTCCTCCTCCTCCTCCTCCTCCTCCTCCTTAGTTAGCTGAGACCAGCGCTCCGCCTGAGACATCCTCACAATCTGTTCTTCAAGCGAAGGATGTTGGGACAGAAAACAGGCAAACCGTTTGAGACATCCCCACAAAACGGCTGCGAACGGGACCGTGTCATACCCCTCGGCGGCTCCCTTTAGGGGTGCTGAAACCAGCGCCCCGCCTGAGACATTCTCACAATCTGATATCCAAGAGAAAGATGTCGGGACAGAAAACAGGCAAGCAGTTTGAGGCATCCCCACAAAACGGCTGCGAACGGGACCGTGTCATACTCCTTGGCGGCTCCCCTTAGGGGTGCTGAAACCAACGCCACGACTGAGACATCCTCACAATATGTTGTGTGTTGAGTATGTCAGACAATGAGAGGGTCTGAGTATTGAGTAAGTCTGGGTATGGGTGAGTCTCAGCATGAGTAAGTCTGAGTATGAGTAGGTCTGAGCATGAGTACGTCTGAGTACGAGTAAGTTAACATGATCAGGTCTGAATACGAGTAAGGCTGTGTATGAGTAAGTCTACGTATGAGGAGGAGGATGAGGAGGAGGAGGAAAAGAAGAGGAAGGAGGAGTAGGAGGTGCCCAAGTAATAACAAGAACCCCATCTTCGGATATAGGGGAATAAAATGGGCTTCGAATACCCTCGTCGCTCAGGCGGGGCCTCCTTGAAGGAGTGGGAGCGGCGCGAAACCTGATGCATATCATGGTTTTCGAATACCCTCGCTCAGGCGGGGTCTCCCTGGAGGGGTAGGAGGTGCACGAAACCTTGTTAATAGCATGGTATACAGATGTTGTCTTCGCTCAGGCGGGGCCTCCTTGGAGTGGTAGGTATGGTATGGCAGTTTGGTCATGGTAGGTATGGTATGGTATGGTAGGTATGGTATGGTAGGTATGGCAAAATATGCCATCATATGGTAATTGTGTTATGGTTTAGTATGTGTAGTCTGGTAGGCATGGTAGGTAGTGTACGGTATGGTATGGTCGATATGGTATGGTAGGTGTGGTATTACGGAATGGTAGGTAGGTTTTGTTTTGTAACGATACGTATTGGTATGGTATAGTAGGGAGGCGGGAGAAGGAGAAGGAGGAGAAGGAGAAGGAGAGGGTGTTCTACGAAAACAAGAACCCCACTCAGGATGTGGGGAACAAGCAGGCACAACAAATGCGTTGTGGGCTCGCGTACGTTCAAATGACCCTCCTGATCCTGCTCCTTCGTCCTCCCTGCTCCCCTACTTGCAGATTTCGTCCTTATCCCTCCGGATCTCTCATCACACCTCCGCCCTGGCATTCCGCCGCATCTAGCATTCCCCCCTGAAGGGAGAGGGATGCACGCTGCCAGATCCCGTCCTCTGACTGCCTTAGCTGCGCGTGACCTCCTGGCCCCACATGGCGGACAGGAGAGAAACGGAAAAAGGCGCGCTGCGGTTGCGCCGCGTATTCGATTACAGTCGACATTACCCTCCACCTCCTCCCCCTCGTCGACCTCCTCTGGAGAGAAAGGGCAGGGGAGATAGAGAGAGAGAGAGAAGCTGGGGAAGAGAGAGCACGGGAGGAGGGGGGGGGAGGTGAAGCGGGAGGGGCCATGGGGACAGTGAAGGGATGGGGCGATCGGGGCATGTAGACGGGATGGGGATGGGGAGATGGGGCCAGGGGCAATCCTGGCGCGCTCTCGAGCCGCATCGGGACGTCCTGCCCCCCTCCCGCCCCACCTCTCGCCGCGGCGCGCGGCCCCTCTGCTCGCCGACGTTGGGCTGTCGGGCCCCGGCCCTCGCAGGGCGCGGTGCAGTACCTGGCCCGTCGCGGGCTGCGCGAGCCAGGCCAGGGGTTTGAGAGTCAGCTCCTCGGCATCGCTCGGACGTGTGCATTTTTACCTCGGCGAGGACCATCGAGGAGCATCCTTGATCATTTGGCGAAAAAGCCACGCACGAAACTGAAAAAAAACATAGGGAATGGACGTCCAAGCGATTGCGAGGCTCGCGTATAGCTGATCTCCCCAGCGCCGGGAGGCGCCCATGTATCGAGGAATGGACCCGGCGGCGGGGCCGAACCCAGCCGCACGCAGCAGACTTCGCAACCCCCCCTTTCCCTATCCCCCCCCTTTCGTTCGGCCCGAACGAGGGATTGGGCAGGATGTGGCCACTGCGGCGCGCAGGGAGCTTGAGCGACAGTCGAGCGGCGCCGTGCAGGAAGCGGGAGGGGCGGCACCAAGTATCGACGGCCCCCTCCACCGAGGAAGGATGATCCTGATCGCGGTGATGGTGGTACAGTGCCGTTTTTTATACACGCTCCGCGCGCGGATCATGTATTCAAAATGCAGGGATTTAGTATTGAAAACAGCGAGGAGTTCATGCATAAATTTACTCATATATTAATCATGTATGAAAAAAACCGATATGTCTTAAAATCCCATGTGTTAAGAACTGCCCTGTAATATTCGGGCTTCTCAGGTGGCCGAGAGATGACCACCAGCACCAAGCTATACCACACAACAGGACCATCTTCCCCCAACGGAGACCCCCCTGTGTTGACGTCGGTGCCAGGTTCCAGGCCCCCAAGTATGACGAGATGTGAGGATGACGATGATGATATGTGGAGGAGGAGGAGCAGGAGGAGGAGGAGGGTGAGTAATGATAGTCCTTGACAGTTGCTTCCATGATCGTGAAGTGGCGCATTGTCAGCATCGCGGGTATCTCGTGCCGGGCCGCGATCGTATTCAGCGTGCCGCCCTGAGGCAGAACCGAGCACGCCAATCTTATTGCGCACGGGCTACGCTTGGGTAGCAGCACATGTTGTATGCATCGTCGTCGAATGCTTCGTTTCCGACCGCGTGGCGGCCCATTCGGTTCGTAGCCATTTCGGCCAAAAGATTATTAGCTCACGTTTGTCAACCGTTTTTTGCTTCTACATTTGAATTGGCCCCATACAATGGCACATGAAGTTTGGGCGAGTACCATGGGAGCGTTGGCGTTGTCTATCAGCGCTGCCAGTATCGAAGACGCCTACGGCGAGTCACCACCGCCCCTTGCCTCGTGGAAAAGCCCGTGCGGCCAAACGGTGGGCCGAAGTCTGGCGACGCTGAATGCACTGTATGTGTTCCGCCAGCCGCTGTGGAGCCCCTTGGGGGGAACACTTTAGAGAGGAAGAGAGAAAGGAATAGGGGAGAGGGAGGAGAAGGAGGACGAGGAGGAGGAGGAGGAAGAAGAGGAAGAAGAGGAGGCCGCTCGAGGCTCTCTTGGAGATTCCTGGGACCTTCCTGGGAGCCTCTTCGGGGCCTGTGCGAGGGAGGCCCCTTTTTGGGGCCTCATGGGGCCTCCAAGGGAACTCTTGGCCTTCGGAGGCCGTCTTGGGGCCCTCTCTGGGCAGTCGTGGGTCCCTCTCTGGGCTCCGCCCTTCCTCCTTCCTGCGCCTGCTCCTTCCCTCCGTGCTCCGCCTCGTCCTCCTCACCGTCCTCCTGGTGTCCCTCCTCCCCACGCTCCTCTGTCCTCCGCCCTCCCGCCCGCCAGGGGTAGACGCGGGAATCGGAAGCTAGCGCCAGGATGGCTCAGGACTAGACGGGGGCGGCGGTCGTTCGGCCCTCCGAGGGAGGCAGGAGTGAGCCCGTCGTGTTCCAGCTCCGTTCCACCGTCCTTTCCGCACACGTTTCTCTTCGTTTTGCTCTCCCTTTCTCCTCGTCGTTCAGTATGGAAGGAAAGTCTTGGGGAAGAACTACGTATCATGCGAGGAGAAAGCAGTGGGCATTCTAAACGCGCGCAAAAGCAATGATTGCAGGAGAACTTGGGTCAGGGGCCTCGGGTCAGGAACAGTCGTCCGATGTCGTCGTGGTATTGAATTGTTGATTTTGCCGGGTGGATTCTGGCGTTCCAGGTTCCGCTTGCGAGAGGACCATAAGAACGGAGGAGTAGACCACCATTGAATGTAGCTTCTCGTGCGTAAAGAAAATCGCGGGTATTAGTGCCCGTGGCGCCCGCTTGAGCCCGTCCGACGGTTCTCATGGGCGGGGTTCGGGCTTTCTCGGCAATTTGCGTGCGTTGAGGGCAATGCTTCCTCGCCCTCCTCATCCTTTGTCCCGCCGCACCCCCTGTGAGGATATAGTTTGAGCAGACGGTGCACCCATCTCGACCCAATCCCATTCCTTCAGATTGGATTGTTTTTCTTATTTACCGTCGTCCCCATCGCACATGTGTTCTTTGCAGCTCTCAGACGCAAGCACTTGTCGCCCAGATGTAGAACCCTTTTTTTTGATCCGCGGGTCGAGAGCGCACCTCTTCCGGTCGAAGCTAAGCGGGCCGCGCACAGCTTGAATTAACAAAGGTGGGGGCAGAGGGAGGGGCCTCACGTCAAGGCCAGGAGGGGGTCATGTGGAACTCTGAGAGGGGCACAAAAAATAGTACAAGGCCAAATTATGCGCGAATATGAGGAGGAGGAGGCTCTCAACATACGCAGGCTGCCCAAAAGGCCCGAACACCGCCCGAGCCTTCGGACGGGCTCAGGCGTGCGTCATGGGCTCAAAGGTCCTCGAGGTTTTGACCAGAAGCTGCACTCAGCGCCATTGTGTTCCACTCCCTGATCCCCTTGCAGATGGAGGCTGGAACGCGCCCAGAACCAGTGGACAAGTCAAACAACTGTTGAAACTTTTTTGATTCGCGGGTCGAGAGCGAGCCTCTTCCGCTGAAAGCTAAGCGGGCCGCGCACAGCTTTAATTAACAGAGGAAGGAAAAAAGAAGGCGGGGCCTCACGTCAAGGCCAAGAGAGGGCAAAACCCCGGGATCAGGCGGTGCTGAAAGCGAAGTGCATGCAAAGGAACGCCTTGGACAGGAACCCGGAGGCGAAGTACCGGGAGGCGAACAGTTGGTGGTAATAATTGTTGAAACACATGGGAGAAGGACTTCGGAAGAGATGTTCGTGGCCCGAGGCCCCTCCCAGCAGTTCTGCGGTACCGAAGGCGCGGCGCTGTGTCTTTTAC